CAACTCCTTGTGAGAATGACTCAACCATTTGTGATAATGACTCAACCAACTCCATATGAGAATGACTATAATCCTTGTGAGAATGACTAAAATCTTACTGAGACTGAAAGCGTTCTGATATGGACACTGTACCTACGAATGTTCTTATGATGAACTTAAGCTGCTTTTGGGAAACCAGGCCCAGCTCAGTCACCTGAGTGCATGATTGCACCAGTTCCTCTGACATAATTATGTTGTTATAATTCAGCTGGAGTATCCTCAGTGTAGGTATGTGGCAATCTGTATTCACAAGAATCTTAAACTTATGTTCACCTGTTTCAGGTTTACTAGTGAGGAGTTGAGGCTCTGTAGCACAATATATCCATTATTTCTAGAGACATGTGGACCCAACTCAAATAAAGACTGGACACGTTTGTTAGAAAATATCTATCTGGAAAATCCCATTCCATGCTTCCACAGTGTTACAGGTTTAGGTTTTTCTCAAATCTTCGCTTTTCAATCTTGAGGTTGGTTCTGTTTAAGTGTGGAAGTGTAGTGATTGGAATCATCCTTGCTGGCAGGATGTGTTGCACCTGTCGCCTTGTTAATCAGTCGTTAGTTTCACCTGTGCTGGCACAGGTACTATTTAACAGCTGCAAAGCCAATGCTCCAGTTGGCAGGAGAGATGTTGAAAGTGATCACGGTTTAAGGCATCATCTTTAATTTTGGGAAAACAAAGCATTTTATCTAATGTTCTCCCCTTTGGTTAGCTCCACTTACTTTTAACTCCATATTATAAGTTGGTGTGGGTTTTTATTTTGGACCCAGTTTCTTGTTGCTAGTCAACTTTCAGTGGACACCCCAATGAGTGTCTTTGAAAACCCATTTGAAAACCCCATCTATTTCGTTTTACTTGTCCGTGGCTCATTTGTTAGTTCCCTTTTATGTTAAACTACAGTTTATATTGTTTCTTAGTGGAAACGTAACAACAGAAGGAAAGGTGTAATGTTTGAAATCTTCAGCATCACAGCCAATGTTTTTCCTCACCTTCAAAAGTATTCCCAGATACATCCAGCTTTCTCAGCCCTGTGGATCTGTTGCCACTAATGTCACTAAGGTAATTGGAAGATGGGCCTAACATATTCAATATGACTTATCTTGATGTTATATAGCTAATTCTACTACATTTTAGATGGAGAGGAACCGAAATGATGAGGGTTAGATGGTTGTGCTTTAGTTTAGGCTTGGGCGGTATCCAGATGTTCATATCGTCATACCGTCCTCCTCTCATCCCGGGATGTACGGTATTACCGGTATAGCACACAAGGGGGCGCAAAAAATGCAAGAAAAGCCCATTGGGCCTCTATTACCAGAATGCTAACAAATTAATAGCGAAATCACAGACACTGTTAGCTAAATGCAAACAAACTAAAACAAACAAACTAATTGCAAAGACGGGCAAATCCAGCTCAGAAAATTATACAAGCATAACCATTAGCTAACAGATGTCATTTTCGGTAAGTGTGAACATTTACAAGTGAAAGTGAACGAGAAATTGTGCAAATGAACAAAGTTGTGATGCATGCTTTTCTGAAGGAAGAGCAGCATCTGTATACTGAACAGAAGGGAGAAGAACGGAGAAGGGAAAACACTAGCAGGAAACACAGGGAAGGAATGGCAGCAGTACAGATAGCTCATCCAGAGCTTTTTGACTTTTGGCAGAAAGCCATGATAAGATATCTGATGCCAAACATTCAGTAGGGAATTGCATACAGTAGTGAAGTGTAACTTCATCACCTCATGTGGTGAAGCTCCCGCTTTCTCCTGTTGTGATATTTGTCACGTGACTAGCTCAACTGTTCTGGGGAACTATGGTAAGCTTCTTAATGTAAAATGATGTGACCGGTGAAATGAAGAACGCAATTTGCTTGATCTCCTAGCGTATTGCACAATTTAACTGCAGGTATTAACTTAAAAGTAGTTCTATATCGTGGAGCTCCGCCCCATAGGGGAGCTCTGCTCCTATTGGTTTACCCTCTGCCCTAAGGCAGCATCAGCCTGAGACAAAATTATGCACACACCTGCAGCCAATAGGAGTACAGGTGTCCCTATAAGAGGGGATGCCTCCCCTCAATCAGCCCTCCCTTTATCTTCAGCGACTGGACTAGACTGGAGAAGCCAAGAAGACAAGACTTAGGACGAGATACGCCGTCAAATTTCCAGATCTTTGACGTCGTCCTAAAATGAGCGCACCAGGAGATTTTCCACCCCCAAAAGCTATTTTCAGATCCCTAGGCTCGAGAGCGCCATGGCAGCGTATCTAGTGCCAGGTTTGAGTCCCTGGGTGTCCTCCAAAAAAGCCACTTTACCAACCCAGAAGGACAGGCTCACAGCACAGCTGGCAGAGAAGTCCTTCACGTTGGGAGCCCAAGCTGTGTCAGCAGTAAATAACATTGCCCTCCTCGCGGCCTCTCTATCTCGTTTAACAACGGGAAGATCTGAGCTCACGAGTGAGGAGGTGGAAGAGGCGTCTATGGCGCTATTCTTCACCTGACGCAGGCGTCTGCTATTTGTGCAGGAAGGTCCATGGCCACTTCGGTGGTCATTGAACATCACCTCTGGCTGTCCTTGACCGCCATGAAGGAGACTGACTGGGAGGGGTACGGTCCGGAGGAACGGTGCTGGGTCCCTAGGAGGGACATCCTAGATCCCTCCCTGTTGAGGGATTTCCACCGGAGTCATCCGACTCGCCCTGCTCCGCATCCTCCTGGCCGTCCCCGAGGCCGGCGCACGGCTGGAGCCGCGCGTCAAGGGGGGGGGGGGTACTGTCACGGATTCTGCCGAGGCTGCTCCTCCTCCTCCTTGCTCGGGCAGGCTTCGGCGTTCGTCGTCCCCGGAGTACTAGCTGCTGCCGATCGATGTTTCGGTGTTTGTCTTGCTTAGTCTTGAGTGTTTACACCTGTTCGCATTTATGTTTGATTGTAGTCCCTATATTTACCCCTGTCTCTCATTTGGTAATTGTGTGTTATTGTTTGGTTTCCCGTAAGGTCGGCATCGCTGTGTCGTATGCGTGTATTTGTTTCCTCCCTGTTAGGTTTTGTTTTGTATGTTCTTTTACTGGTTAGTAAAGTACGTCTGCCAGTAGCTCTGTGTCCTGCGCTTGACTTCGCTCACCGCATACACGTCACCTTTGACAAAATGTCACACCTTTGTCAATAACAGCAAAAGGAAGCAAGTACAACAAGAAGCAATTTTGTCTTTATTGTAAAAAGGCCATTTATAAATTGGCAAGACACCTCGAATCCATCCACAGTGAAAAGCCTGATGTTGCAATGGCTTTCAGTTTTAATAAAGGATCCTGCAAAAGATGAGTTGTTACGCTCCCTTAAGAAGAGATGAAACTTTGACCATAATACTGAAGTGGCAAGCTGTGGCACTGGAGAGATGGTTGCCTGCAAGAAATTCCCTATGGAGACATGTGAGAAACTGCCCGAAGAAGTCTGTTGAGGGAGAGCCTCAAGTTGGGCGAAAACGGATTCAACTGCACTTACCAAGACCTGACTCAGTTAAGGAAACTGTTTGGAAGATTGCTTGTGAAATGAACCAGGATGACGTTTCCTCGGTTGTAAGGAGTGAAACTGAAATCCTTTGTATCGGCGAGTCACTGTTGAATTCCAGGAAACCATATGAGAGAAGGAATGACTACATACGCCAAAAAATGAGACAGATGGCAAGACTATTGATAACGGCAAGGGCTATAACACCTTTGAAGAGTACCGAAGACCTTGTTATGCCCTGTAACTTTCAACAATTTGCCACTTTACATCAGAAAAGTGGACAGAGTCCATTTCAGCTGCCGGATTGGGTACACTTCAACAAGCCAAATGGAATAAACCACAGGTTTTACCCTTTACAGAGGATGTGTCAGTGCTGCACACGTTTCTTGCTACTGAGCGTGCTAAGTGTATGAAGGACCTTGAGGAAGAACCCAACAGCAAAAGCTTTGGAAATCTTGCTAAAGTGACTTTGACGCAGGTAGTACTATTTAACAGAAGGAGGCAAGGGACCTAGTCAGGCACGAGTCCTTGCATAACAACAAGGAAGGGTTGTCTGCATACTGGGTCATCTTAACATGCAGCCCACCGCTTCCAGGGATGCAGCATGCCTCCACCCCTGTGTCTGCCCTAATGGCAGTCCCCAGCGGCTCCATGTACAGAACGAAGTGGAGTGCTGAGAGCGGGCACCCCTGCCTGACCCCAGACTCCCCCATGTGACCGTATTACGTTCACCAGGCACCCTGCTCCGACATATAAAGCACGGATCCACCCTATATACTTCTCCCCAAAACCTAACCTGCCTAACACCCTAAAAAGAAAATATCTATTCACTCGATCAAAGGCTTTAGCCTGGTCGAGTGCTGCTACCATTAGCGGCAGCCCTCTATCCTCTGCCCAAGCAATGGAGTCCCTGATCAAACTCAGGTTCCACCTAATAGAGCGTCCCTCTATCCCACATGTCTGATCCTCATGGACGACGTAGGGAAGGGCTGTGCGCAACCGGTCCACTAGACCCTTCGCAAGTAGCTTGTAGTCTACGCACAGCATGGTCAACGGCCGCCAGTTGCCGAGATCTGTGGCGTCCCCCTTTTTGTACAGAAGTGACAGCACACCTACGGCCATCGATTTCCCCCCCCCCCCCCCCCCCGGGACCCCTGTCTCGAGGATGGCCTTCAAGACTTCGAGGACTATTGGCCCAAGTATACCCCAAAACTTGAGGTAAAACTCAGCCGGCAGCCCGTCCATCCCGGGCACCTTCTCTTTTCCCATCCTGCTGAGGGCGCTCTCAACCTCTTCTAGAGAGATCTCAGCCTCCATTGCTTTTCTAATGTCCTCCGGCACTTGCCGGGACAGGTGTTCTAAAGAAACCTCTTGAAAGAAACCTTGGAAATGTTACGTGGTCACCTTGACCATTTTCCCCCATCTCTCTCACTACTCTACCGCTTTCTTCCCTAACCCCATACATTACCTTCCTACTGTCTTCCACTTACTGATTTTAAAGAACTCGGCCGAACATGTTTCATCGTGTTCTATATATAAAACCTCCCTTAGCTGCGCCTTTAGGGCAGTGGATCTCTCCCAGTCTACCGACCCGCCGAGGTTGCCTGCCTCGAGCTTGAGTTCTAGCAGCCTCTGGATATGATCCACCTCCCTCCTTTCCTCCCTCTTTTTCTTCTTCCACTGTCCTATTATAAAAACCCTCATCCTCACCTTTACTATTTCCCACCATTCTAACACCCCCTCACACATGGACCGGAGGCCCTCAAGCCCCCTAAAAAAATCAACCAAAGCTTTGACGAAAGCCTGCCCATCCAGCACCTCCCGTTCTAGCTTCCAGTACCCCCTACCGAAGAGGCAGACTGGTGCCCCAAACTGCAGGAGCACCCCGTCGTGGTCCGAAAAGAACACAGGCAACAAACGCTCAGACAACTGACCCAGAGACCTGGATAGGAAAATATAGTTGAGCCTCCGCTCGACTCACCCCTAGAGTTGCGCCATGTTGGCCATGCCATCGTCGGAGCCGTGTGCAGGCCCCATCCACCAGACCATGGCATGCCATTAGTCTGGTGATGGCTCCTGTACTGCTATCTCTCCCCCTCCCTATATCTATATTGAAATCCCCCCCCTATTACCAAGTGTCTATTTGTAGCACACAGCGGCGCCAGGCAGTCCACCATCTCCCTCCTGCCCGCCACCAACTGTGGCCCGTACACCACAATAACTCTATACCTACTCCCTCTTATCGTGACATCTGCTCCCAGTACTCTACCCTGCATAACCACAAACGTGCCCTCCACCTTCACCTCCCTATTCCCAAACAGTATCCCCACCCCCGATGAGTGAACCCCCCCCTATGCCCCACACCGACTTTCCCTTGTCCCACTCCCTCTTAAACTTTATTGCATCCCAACTATCCCTTAGGTGAACCTCCTGTACAAAACAAACATCAAAACCCACACCTTCTAAGTACCCAAAGACCGCCCTTCTCTTCACATCCTCCCTTATCCCCCTCACATTTAACATTACAAAAATAATCCCTGCCATTATAGCTTCAAATTTTTGCCATTTTTAAACACCCCATAACCAAAAACACAAAACAGGAGGCTCACCTGATGCTCCCCTGCTCCATCTCCTCCAGCAGCGACTCTGACCCCCCTTCAGATGTCCCCCCACTCTCCTCCATCTCTCCAGCCCAGGATGCAGGAATGGTGTTTGGCTCTCGGGTTCCCTGGGCTCACCACCATCCTCCTCCATCCCATCAACCCCGAAAACGGTTGGAAAAAGTACCGGGGATCCAGCGTCCTCTGCCCCCGCTGCCAACCCCCAGTGGGTGCGCCCGGCAGTTGTGCATTGGGAGGGGTCAGTGCTGTGGGAGCTTCTCCCCCCCCCCCTTCTCTCCCATTACTCGTTTAGCCTCCCCCTCTTCCCCACCGCCCATCTCCCTCTTCCTATCCCCAGACCTCCCCATCCTCTTCCCTCTCTTCTTCGTCGATGCCAGCAGCGGGGAAACCATAACCCCCCTAACCCCCAGCTCCTCCCTCACCTCCTCCTCCCCTTCTCTCAACCTCTCCCTGTTTCCCCCATCGCCCCTCTCCCCTTCTCCTCTCCTTCCAGGGCTGTGGCCGGCACCTCTCCGACATCCTCCTGCTCCTCCACCTCTGGCACCACCTCTCCCACTCTCCCCTCCGTCTCCTTCACCGGTCCCACCTCTCCTTCCGGTCCTTTTCCGGCCATCCTCTGCCCGTCCTCCTCTCTTCCCGCTGCTTATTTTCGGTCCTCCTCTGTTGCAGCCGGACATCCCTCTGACACTTTGCTCGGGTCAGGAACTCCCTCTCCTCTTCTTCCTCCTTCCCCCGCACCTGCTCCCCCACCTGCTGCAGCCGCATACGACCTGTGGCAAGCCGTACATTCTCTCCACAGGTGTGCAGCTGATCCACACCCGTGGCACTTCTTCGCCTCGCCACAGTCCTTCGCCTTGTGCGCTTCTGATCCACACACACTGCATTTTCTCCCTCCACACGAGGCAAAGTTGTGTCCATATGTCATGCAGCGCCTGCAGACGGGGAGCTGACGGGCATAAAACAACGTCCCCCTATCAGCCACCAGGGGGAACAGTGCTGGAGGATGAAGGTATCCCCCCAGGCCCCTTGGGTCTTCCTTCAGTAGGGCCTGGAAACTCCTCCTCCTGTTCCAGAACCCTAGCGTGTCCTTGAGGAGCCTTGCTGAGGAGACATTGTCCATGTATCTCCCCAGGAAGGCCCTCACCTCCTCTTCCTTCACATGCGGGTTATACATGTTTACTGTGATGACCCTGAAGCTGTTTCTTGCCAGGCTCGCCACCTCATAGTGGCACATTGGTCTGGTCTTTTCGATCTCCTTTGCCGTTCCCATGACCTCATCGTGCTTTGCCTCCGTGTGAAACACCACGTCAAAGGCCCCTTCTAGGGGGTTCGCCTGGAGGCACAGCAAGCCTTTTATGACTAGCTTCAGGACCCACATCAGTATGGTCCTCCCGAAAGTTTCGCTTCCAAAGGGCTCCATCTCCTTCTCCCTCCATGCGAACCTTATCGCATTTGTGATCATGTCCATTTCCGTTGGAATTGCAATTCTAGTTCCTCCAAGTTTTTAGAGTTACATGAATTTGAAATAGCCTTTCCAACTTTTACTCTGTGGCTTACGGCCATAAATGCCGGAATATGCCTGATCTCGTTTGTCCTCGCAAGCAAAGCATGGTGGTGCCTGGTTAGTACTTAGTTGGGTAGACTGCTTGGGAATACCAGATGCTTAAGCTTCTTGCCCAGTGGATAATACTCTTGTAAGAACATTAATGATATAATGTCCATTAAAAATGGAATGGCTGTTCTAGTTCTTCAAAGTTTTTTGAGTTATATGAAGTTGAAATAGTATATCCAACTATCATTCCATGGTTTACGGCCATACAAGCCTTAATATGCCCGATCTCAGCAGGGTCAGCACTGGTTAGTACACTGCTCAAAAAAATAAAGGGAACACTAAAATAACACATCCTAGATCTGAATGAATGAAATAATCTTATTAAATACTTTTTTCTTTACATAGTTGAATGTGCTGACAACAAAATCACACAAACATTGTCAATGGAAATCAAATGTATTAACCCATGGAGGTCTGGATTTGGAGTCACCCTCAAAATTAAAGTGGAAAACCACACTACAGGCTGATCCAACGTTGATGTAATGTCCTTAAAACAAGTCAAAATGAGGCTCAGTAGTGTGTCTGGCCTCCACGTGCCTGTATGACCTCCCTACAACACCTGGACATGCTCCTGATGAGGTGGTGGATGGTCTCCTGAGGGATCTCCTCCCAGACCTGGACTAAAGCATCCGCCAACTCCTGGACAGTCTGTGGTGCAACGTGGCGTTGGTGGATGGAGCAAGACATGATGTTCCAAATGCGCTCAATTGGATTCAGGTCTGGGGAACGGGCGGGCCAGTCCATAGCATCAATGCCTTCCTCTTGCAGGAACTGCTGACACACTCCAGTCACATGAGGTCTAGCATTGTCTTGCATTAGGAGGAACCCAGGGCCAACCGCACTAGCATATGGTCTCACAAGGGGTCTGAGGATCTCATCTCGGTACCTAATGGCAGTCAGGCTACCTCTGGCGAGCACATGGAGGGCTGTGCGGCCCCCCAAAGAAATGCCACCCCACACCATGACTGACCCACCGCCAAACCGGTCATGCTGGAGGATGTTGCAGGCAGCAGAAAGTTCTCCACGGCGTCTCCAGACTCTGTCACGTCTGTCACGTGCTCAGTGTGAACCTGCTTTCATCTGTGAAAAGCACAGGGCGCCAGTGGCGAATTTGCCAATCTTGGTGTTCTCTGGCAAATGTTTCTCACTGTCTGTCCATGTGTCACTGTCTGTCACCTCAAACTTGTCTCTTGACCTCTGTGCACCTACGTTGTAAACATTCATTCATAGGCTAGGAAGTAGCAAACTCATGATGGGTATAGGGAAGTCCACTCTCCCCCCTCTGCTTGCAGAAAAAAATAGACAGGACCCAAACGTAACAGGTGTCAGTATTGGTAAACATAAATAGAAACTAAACTTATTTGCAGATGATCTCCTGATATACCTGACCAATATTGAAAACTTAATGCCCCCTTTGCTAAAAATATTTTCAAAATACCCAAATATCTCAGGATATAAAATTAACGTGGAAATAATGGCAATAGGAAAAAGACTGACAAAGTTTTAGTATTTATTTTTGATAATAAATTTAAAAATGTATACTCGGTCATAACAGACTTTATATGGGCAAATAAAATTAATAGAATAAAAAGGAACATTTTACATCTTCCTAAGTCTGAGGATGGTTTTAACATTCCAGACTTGGAATTGTATAAACTTGCTACCCAAGGATTATTGTCACACCCTGATCTGTTTCACCTGTCTTTCAGCTTGTCTCGTCAAGTCTACCAGCGTTTTTCCCATACTGTTTTTCTCTAGTTCCTGTTTTCTAGTTTTCCCGGCTTTTACCATTCTGCCTGCAACTCGTGTGGGTTGAATACGCCCGCAACACCCTCCCCTGTTCTGCCACTGGTCTCTCGCCCTTTGAGTGTTCCCTGGGTTATCAGCCCCCGCTCTTCCCGGAGCAAGAGGAAGAGGTCGGCATATCCTCGGCCCATATGTTTGTCTGCCGCTGTCGCCGTACCTGGAAGCGAGCCCGGTCGGCTCTTCTCAAGACCACCTCCAGGTATCGACGACAAGCGGACCGTCACCGGACCCCGGCTCCCCGGTATCGTCTCGGGCAGAGGGTATGGCTGTCCACTCGAGATCTGCCCCTCCAGGTGGAGTCCCACAAACGTTCCCCACGTTTTATCGGCCCTTTCCCCATCTCCAAGATTATTAGCCCTTCTCTGTTCGTTTTCTGTTGCCCCGTACCCTACGTATACATCCCACTTTACATGTGTCTAGGATTAAACCTGTTGCCCTTTGTCTCCTGTTTTTCTCTAGTTCCTGTTTTCTAGTTTTCCCGGTTTTGAACATTCTGCCTGCCCTGACCCTGAGCTTGCCTGCCGTTCTGTACCCTGTGACACCACCTTGTGTTACTTTGAAACTGTCTGCATCTGGGTCTTCTCCTGATCCGTGATAGCTTTTACTTGCGACATATAGTTAAATGCACTAAAGAGGAACAATGCTCATCCCCAGAATACTTTTATGTGTCTATTTTCAAAGGTTAAAGCTAAGAACATTAAGAAATTCATTTTTTAAATGTATGTATGATGGTTCGTATACGGGCTCACTGAAATACCACGCAGGGCAGACAGAGAATTGATCCATTGTTACAGGCTGTTCTTTTAAATACCCTGACAGGGATAGGCCCAGCAAGGAGCGGGAACTATCAGGGTAGAGGTTGGGCATGGTTTAGACTTGCCCAACCTATCGCTGGCGCTCAGGTTGGTCCCAGACCCTTGGCGCTCCACTGTTGCACACTGTTGCCAGGCATAAGTTGTTATCATAACAACCTGTAGAGTCAGCTCCCATAGAGACCGTTCCACTGTACTCTATGTACCTACGTTCAAGGACGGTTCACAGATCACATAGAAGCAGTGTAGTCTAGTATTTTGAGACACAAGTTCTTATCTCATCCTACCCCCTAACGTTCCTCACATGAATCACAGCTTGTTATGTGAAACAATTTATATCAGTACAGTACAAACCTTCTATGTTTAATCACCAATGCATTCCTTCTAAGCTATTCATCCCTCCAGTTATGAGAAAATAGATCCCCACAAAACCGTAAATGACTTGGTAACAGGAAATACATTTATTTCCGTGACAGATAAAAGTAATTTTGGACTTACCAATTGTTTCAAATACATGAAATGTAAAAGTTTCATATCACAAAATGTTGATTGAAATCCTTTTTACATCAGAGCAACCTTGAGGGAATCTTATTTGAGAAAAGGATGTTCATATGATAGGGAAGATATATAAAGCATTGCAGAGAGCATATCCATAACTGACAATCTCTTAGAAAGAATTCTAAACTATTGGAACCTAGACTTAAAAATAACTGATGTTGGCACAAGATGGAGGGGAAGTTGGACCATAACTAACAAAAAATATGTTTATGAAAATGTACGCTTAATCCAGTATAAACTAATGTATAGAACTTATTATACAAGAGACAAAATTCACAAGTTCTACAGCACAACAGCAGAGTCATGTCTTAAGTGTAAAACGAATAATGACTGTGAAGTTGGCTGTCAGAATTATTACAATGTAAACTTACTTTTAATCCATCTGTCTGCATATTTCAAGACATGGCATATGAGGGTGTAGTGAGATACCCAATGGGCTGGACGAATCTCTTCTCATCTTGAAAAAATGTATACTCAAAACGTGTACATCTATCAATCCGCCATCATTAACACAATGGAAAAATCTTATTATTTATTGTTGAAATAGCATTGGCGACCGAGAAAATCCCATGGCTCTGGATCCAAAGGTTGTGTGTTCGATCCCAGTTGTGGACAATGTTTTTATTTTATTTTGGGGGTTTTACCCCTATCCCAAACATTAACCCTTACCTTAACACATTACCCATTCAGAATGAGTGCCTAAATGTAATGTTTTAATGCTATCCCAAAACGTAACCCTTACTTTAACCATTTGGAATGAGTCCCTAAACGTAACTCTTACCATAACTTTGAAGTTTGGAGAACTTGAACAATACAGAGCAGCAGGAGCAACCCAGTGTGTCAAAAACACTTCGAAATTTGACGTTTGGAGTCTAATTCTGCATTGAGACTGTGAGAGCTTGTTGCATGTCAGTCTGCATGTCTGTAAACTGAGTCCCTATTTTGAATACAAGATGGACATTGTACATTGCTGCCCCATGTAACAATAGCTGCATGCAGATTCGCTTAAGGAAAGTAGCTATTGGCTGTCCTAAAAGTCGCTAGAAGTCATGTGCATGTAATTGTGACGGACGCTGTAGGAGAGAGGAATAACGTTGTGGGAGAGACAAAAAGTGAGTATAAAACACCCTAAATATGTTTAGAACTGTCTTCTGTCGATTCTTGTTTTTTAAAATGTTTTACATTTACATTCCGCCCTGAATGTAAGCCAGGGCGGGATCAGCCAGCGGGGGCTTCCCCATGCGCGATTCATTTGCAGTCTGGACGCGGAATGGTGAACATCTCCTGCTTTGACTGCAGCTGGGAGGGACTGCTGTGCGAGGACTGGGCCGCCTGTGAGTGCTTTGGGACACGGCAGCGCTCGTTGCTCGTTGAGAAGAGTAAGAACGATACGTGCTTTCACGTCAGAGTCTCCAATAACACCAGAAAAAGTCGCTAGATTTGTCGCTAGTCGCTTTTTTGAAAATGTGTCGCTAGAGGGTTCTGAATACTCGCAAAATATAGCGATAAAATCGCTAAGTTGGTAACACTGAGTCCAAGTCCAACTGGCCTGTCACTAAAAAACTGGCCTCACTAAAACCAATAGGGGAAGAGAGGGGATGGAATAGAAGGAAAAAGGCAAACAGTTAGGATTGGAAGAAAGGAAATTGATCTAGTAAAGGAGGAAAGGAATGG